AAAAACTTATTCCTTTATCCACGCAAACAATCGCTTCAAAAACTCGGTTATTAGCCCCAAAACATGTCATTTATATTATTGGGCCTGTGCATAGCACGATATATATATATCTCACAAATGGAAAAGTCCCAATCAAGGAAGCAACCGTAAAAATACTATAAATCATGATAATTGACAACATAAAATATGTTTTGAAAAAAATACAAAAAATTCCACTGATTCTTGAAGTGAATCTATCGTAAAAATACTATAAATCATGATAATTGACAACATAAAATATGTTTTGAAAAAAATACAAAAAATTCCACTGATTCTTGAAGTGAATCTATCGTAAAAATACTATAAATCATGATAATTGACAACATAAAATATGTTTTGAAAAAAATACAAAAAATTCCACTGATTCTTGAAGTGAATCTATCGTAAAAATACTATAAATCATGATAATTGACAACATAAAATATTTCAAAAATGTTGTATGTGGGTAGTCTTATTATGCCTTAAATAGCGTCAAAGAAAGTACAAGTTTGTGATAAAAAAAACTTATTCCTTTATCCATGCAAACAATCGCTTCAAAAACTCGGTTATTAGCCCCAAAATATACCATTTATATTATTGGGCCCGTGCATAGCAAGGGCAACATTATCTAGTATTAATAATAATATTTAGAGTTAAAAGGGTCAAAACTAAACTATCATAGTCTTTTGAGTTTCATATCTAAACTATTGAGAGTAAAAGTTTCGTACTTGAACTATCACCCAATAGTTAGCGAAACATTCCTTGACTTATTTCTGATGATGATGTGTGCACTCTCTTTTGTTTAAACATTATATAACGTGACACTTCATGTAGAAAAATAATTTTACCATGACAAATCTAAATAAATTAATACTAAGTTAAAAATGAAGTTTAAAGGTTAAAACTATCACCATATAAATATATTTATTCCACTGTGACATCCATCATCTTCTTCTCCACCTTCTTAGTCGTGATCTCGTCTCTGACATGACATTGATTTCTCCGACATAAAGGGGAGAGTTTAGAATATTAAAAAAAGTTAATTATGAATATATTAAAAAATTAATATGTCATCAAATAGAACCTATGTTAGTTGAACGTAAATTTTATGGACATACGCCTAAAAGCATATCTAGACAACCATTTGATCTAGTCAGCCTCTAGGTGTGTTTCACTAATCAATGAGCTAATCTAGATATAAAATGTATTTTTGACCTTAACTTCAATAATTTATATCTAAAAATGGAATAATTTTTATATAAATATATCTTTTATAACATAAAATTTGATGTCAAAATATAATAATGATGATATATTCCACCGGTTCATGAACAAAACAATTTAAATAGACATTATTCTTAACTTTTCTCCAAAAATGAAATAGAAATAAGTTATACTATAGTGTGTGCCTCGAGAAAACCGAGTAAGAGGACACCAAAAGTCCGTCATGTCGATGACGGAGGCCACCCTCTCCACCGCCGGTAACCGCCGTTCTTACCGGTGCTACAACTGCAACGATGCCTTTCACATAACCACCACCGCCGGCGTCAGCTCCTCTTTTCGTTGCCCTCGCTGCTTTCATCGCCACCTCCTCCCTAATTACACCATTGCCAGTCTTATGCCTTTTTCTCAACATTTAACTCTTACCAATTTTACCCTTTCCACCAACAATTCTGTTACTTTTGATTATTCCGATTCCGAAACTGAATCCGATGAGAGTGATTCCGACGATCTTTCGTTTGAGTTGTTTAACTCAACTCAATTCCGTTCACCGACTCTTAAATCGTTTCTCAACTCACTTCCGAGTGTGAAAATCGATGAATCATCGAAAAACTGTTCGATTTGTATGGAGGAATTTGGAATTGATACGGAAGCGAGTCAATTGCCTTGTAAGCATTTTTTTCATAATGATTGTATTGTCCCTTGGCTTAATCGGAGTAATACTTGTCCACTTTGTCGGCATAAATTGCCGCAAGAAGATGAAGATGAAATTGAAAAGGAACTAGAAGTGATTTTGGATGGTGAAATTGGTGGTAGAGAATTTCGAGATAATAATGTTGTTCTAGTAACAACAGCATCATCCTTGACTGAAGTTGGTGAGGATGTTGACGATGATCTTAGAGAAAGGGATCTGGATGCAATGCGCGATGAAGATGGTGATATAATGATGGTTGATGCTTGAAGTTAAAAAGAGAAACATATAGACATGTATATAATTATCCTTTTTGGGTATGATTTTTATCTATAATGTCTTTCGATTTTACCCAAAAAGATCAAATTTTTAGTGGTGTCCTCTCTTATGCTGAAATATAGGATATATATATGTTATGTTATAGGATCAAAATTTAGTTGATGTTCGTGTTTTATCATAAGTTCATATGTGGAGTTTTCGATGCATTCTATAGAGATTTAATATTTGTTGTGAACATTGAAACTCTTTTGGTGGCAGTTTACTAGAGCATTTTTATGTACATACATCCACATTGAAGCCTTCTATGGCAATAGAATCTACTGTAAATTTCTGTATGGAAATTTTGATTTGGTGATCTATGAAACTTGCCATGAAGCTAGTTTCAAGAGGAGTCTTTGGAAAAAATAGACCTTTTCTACGTAAAACACGGGAAAGAAATGATAAGTACACTTGCTAAAGATTTCAGACTTTGGAAAAAAGGTTACAAGAAACAAAAACTGAATGCAGCATAGAATTGGTCATTGTTGTTGGATGTACCTTTTAAGACCTGACCTCTTTCTACCTAATGCTTCTTGTTTGCAGTACCTAGTCGAAGCACGTGGTAACTTGTGGAAAGCTTTGAAGAATGGTATTCTGCTGAACCAGATGCAGAGGCCAAAAGGCCCAGGTTAACTATTAGAGTCTGCTTGGTGGCAGGTGCATCAGTGCCCGTACTAGTAAATATGGGGAGTTGGTTGTTGCTATTTCCCTTGTGAACGGAGGGGGTGTTGGGATTTTATTTTCACTATTCAAGTCTGTAGCGGTCAACTGTGAAGGATTTCCTATGTGTGTTGTACAACTAGAGGAAATGAGAAAACTTTACAGTTGAGAGCATCAATTAGATTAATTATTTGTCCATACTAGTCACTTAGAGATAGAAACCTCTTCTATGTTCAACATTATCATGTTAAGCAATGCAGTGTCGTGAAGTATTTCTTCAAACTTTCCATTTAATTTTTGTAAGGTTCTATTTCATAATATTACTTCAATCAAGAAGTATGCTCTTTTATAGAAAATGTATATACTTTAAATTTTTTTGTTATAAACAAGAAATGAGTAATGATTCCCACCCCATGTGTTTATGTTATGTTTTGGATATGATTCAATTGCTTCAAATCTATGTAACAGAGGGTGAAGTCTATATGTATGGCATATACATAAGATCTTCTTGGTAATGGCATCAATTCTTGAGTTTTAAGCATTCCCAACTGTATTCATTTAATCTTACATGTTAAGTACAATCTAGGTTTGAGGTCACTGTCATCGGTAAATGATGATTCTTTGTACTTATGGGTTGAATTTAATCTTACATCTTGAAATTTCTAGACGGCATGGTATAAGTGTCACAGATGTTCTGAAGATAAATCTTTTGGGGTGGTAGGAATTTTGTGGTGAGACCAGATTAGCAACGCTTAAAAAATCTGCTTGTTTTGGAAAGTGCTTCTTGAAAAAGTACTTTTGGAGAGTAGCAGTGTGTGTTCGGCTAATCAATTTGAAATGTACTTTTGCCAATGTTAGAGTAGCAATTTGCGCTAACCCTTCGTCTTTTCTGAGATTTTAGTGTTTCAATTTCTTTTTTCTTTTTGTCTCCAACTTTTGCGAAGGCGAGTTATTCTTCTGCTTCAATGGAGTTCGGTGGTGGTTGTAAAAGAAGAAGGCCACATAGCCTTATGAATGGCAATGGCGGCTTCAAGAAATCTAAGCTAGGTAACTTTTTTTGCTTTACTGTTTGCTGCATTTCATCCTCCATTTCTAATCTTTGTTTAGTTGCCTCTTATAGGCTTCATTATTTGTTATCTATATGTGCTGTCAAATCTAGGGTTTTGCTAATTTTTCTTCTCCTGGTTTTTTGAATTTAATGATGTACATGTCACTCTTTATTGGCGTTGTCTATTTATTGTTTTCTAGTGGCCTTTATTTTGGTTTATTCTGTATTTTGTTCCGTGAAGCAAGGTTATAATGCTTATGATTTTCATTGGTTTTTCCTTTTGTTTTCATTGTTGTCATGTGTTCATCATATTTCTTTTTTACCAAAATGCATAATGGTGTATATTAATAGAGCTTTTTTCAGCTTTGTATATTTTGTTGTCAGTTGTGGTGGATGACAATATCTACGTAGTGGTTGTAAATATAGTTTGATAGATAGAATGCCACACCAAAGTGCAAAGTTTGAATAGTTAAATGAATTTAGAATTCGGAAGTTCTAAATATGAGTGAGTTTCTTATAAAGTATGATACTTAAAAACTACAAAGTCAAATTTGAAACCGATGTAGTAAAATATTTTTTCATGATTGAGCTGACAAAATTTTGTTTTCATGTAAGAAAGAGAGGACAACAAATTTGCTGTAGTTACTGGTCCTTTTTTTTTTTTCCTCCAGAAGGCTTTGTCGTGCTTTCTACAGTATTTTGTCATGATTTCTTCACTTCTGTTGTTCTTTTTTTCGATCTGCTTTGATATACTGTTTACTGTTTGTTGAGCCGGGGGTCTATTGAAAACAACCTCTCTAACTTGCAAGGTAGGGGTAAGGTTTGCGTACTCTCTACCCTCCCCAAACGCATTACACTGGGTATGTTGTTGTTGAGCACTTCCTTTTTTTTTAAAAAATAAGCACTTTTGACTTTTCAGAAGCTTGGCCAAACAGGCTATAACCATGCACGGACCTTTTTGTTTATTTTTTGTTTTAAATATAAAGATCTAAGTGCTAGACTTCATTGATTTCATAGATACATAGGGTGTATAGTCCACACTCCACAGATGCTTTTTGTAACTAGCGATACCAACTTGGTATTGAAACTGTTTACAATAATTGCTTACTTATTAAAAGATTGTTTGAGTTCAGCTTTATATGGTTTCATTCCTCATCCTCCATTCCTTATAAGTGTGGGGGTGGCGCTCTATGGTGCTGATTCTGAACATAGTTTTGTAGAAAGAGATAATCATGACTATCATAAAAATACTTTGTCCCATTTTATATGGCGTTATTTGATTGAATGCTGCTTTTGAAACTTTATGACTTATATGTAAATATTAGTGATTGTGGAGCAAAATGTTTACAATAGTGGTTCACAAGTTAGTTTGATTGAGAAATGTTACATCAAAGTTCAATTTTTTTTATTGTTGTAATGAATTTCCACTTTTGAAAGATGTTTAGAAAAGGAATGTCGCCAAACATTCTGGAGTATATTAGTTTTGATATTTATCTAACAAAACTAATAGTATCAAGGAAAAACAAGATCATGATAACAATAAATGTAAATAAAGTGATTGCTTCTTGAGCTGTGGATGGAGTTACTCTTTTTGTAGGATTTTGGAAGATTTGAGCCTAAATATGCTAAAAAGTTGCATTTCTGGCAGATTTTAACTCCTGAATTTAGTTTTACTTCATGTACCATTGCACTTATCATTTCAAATATAATTATCTGCTTCTGTAATTGCTTAAGCACAAGTTCTGGCTTCCATAAAATTAAAGTACTTTTTATTTGCATAATAGCCGAGGCACAAGTTTTGTACTTTGTCTCGTTTAGGTAAATTTTGCTCAGGTTCCGCTTCTAGCTTGTTTTTCTGATCAACTGTTTAGCTTTGTATATACAGCTCTGAGCTACTGGACTGATGGCAGGTTTTCACTAAGCGGGGCAGGGAAGTCAAGTATCAGACTAATAAATACCTTTAGTGCTTATTTACTTACTTTTAAGTGTGGGATCTTAGTCAGTCTTTTCTGCATCTGTTGTCCATCACTTAACTGTCCCCATCTTCCAGGTGAGAATTTTGGTCATACTCCAGGCTGGTCTCATTTCTTTGTTTTTCCATACATTTAAAAGTATTACACATAGACTCGGGTCTATCTGGAACAGCCTCTCTTCCTTCAAGGGGGTTAGGTCTGCATACACTCTACCCTACAGACCCCACTCACTGGTATTACACAGGGTTTGTTGTTGTTGTTGTTATTGTATGTAGAAGTAAGACGCACACTCTCTACATAAACTTCTTTAGGCCAGAGGTCTATGATGCAAGACTATGGTACCATATGCAACTATGCTCAGATTAGCTATACATGAAATCCATATCCTGAGTTTACTTTTTTGCTTTCTTATAAATAAAAAAAAAAGAATACATATCATGGGTTTAATTTTCTGCCTTGTGATTACTCTTCCGAGTTCTGGTTTTTCTATGTTGCTTGTGATCCATTAGGTTTGCCATTATAGTTCTGTTAGTTGTTTGCCCACTCCTTATATTGGGGTTCTAGTAGCTGCCGCTTGAAGTTAAACCGTTTTTGGGAAGTAGTCAGGGTGAAGAGTCCATAATTGTAACTCTTTTAGTTTGAAAATTGAGGATGTTGCTCTGACATATTTGCTCAAGGGCCAGCATGTTTTGTAATGATTTTAATTAAAAAGGTTTTTAGGATGTAGTCTTTGTACAGCTTCTTCTTTAGGATGTAGACTGGATTTAGGTACGCAACAATCGTTCGAAACATCTGCTACCAAGTCAATGGGTTGGTCAATGACTGTGTGCTCTTTGCTGAATTAACGACTGATTTTGGAACCAAACCAGGTAACTTTAGAGGTGATGGCGATGGTAGATTCTGAAGAATCAATGGCTCTACTGGTGACCTGTTGAAAAGAAGAAGGCTGCTTTGACTTTGATTAGCCAACGAGTGCTGGGATACTGTGCTCCTGTTCATTTGTTGGTGATATTTGTACATATGGTATAGCTGTTATAATAGCATGGTTTCTACTTTGTTAAGTCGTATAGTTCAGTTCTGTCATAGAGAGGTAATTCTATCTCTAAACTATCTTACAGAATCCTACTGCTGAGGTTTGCAAGGGCTTGGGTTGAGCTGGGGTAGTTTCCAGAATACCAGACAATTATGCAAGGGTTGCTTCCAACTCTATTGAAGTCGAGCTACTTGTCATTGTTACTCTATCAATTGTATCGTCTAAAGTCTAAACCATGGTTGGTAATCATCTACATCATTAGGAAAGTTTAGTATTTGATTGAGATAGCGGTGCATGAGTTGGATTTTCTTTGAAATTTTGTACTGTGCGAAGGAACAACACTTCGAAGGAAAACAAACAGCTGGGCATTATGGTCATAAGTGCAAAACGAGTTTTTTTTCTTTTTTCTTTTAGTGTTTTTTTGGAAACAGCCTCGTAGTGGTAAGGTATATATATACTTTACCCTCCCTAAACCCTACTTTGTGGAATTTCATCGGGTAGATTGATGTTGTATTTTACTTTCTATATAGACAGTGTTTAGTGTGACACAGAATGTCTTTCAGAAGAAACTTGCAGATGACATGTTAGAGAGTCCGGCACCAAAATGGACGCATTTTGGGCACCATATACTAGAAGGACCCATTCTAATGGACATTTCATCAAGAAATGAGCAAACTGTCCTTTACTACTCTCAACTCTGTCTATTTCCACTGTAAAATAAAACACAAATATTTTGATGGGTTTGCCAGTAAATGATCAAACTATAACTTTTTTTATTAGCTTTTCATGCGAAGGAATATTTATTTTAAAATTTAAGTGTATTATCACCGTCCAGTTGATGCATAGAATTGTGAGAGATAGTTTGCAATGAAAGTAAACACAGTTAATGGTGGTAAGGGACAGTTGCAACCGTTTTGATCTGAATTTTTAGGGAGGATCCTTTTGATATGGATACTCAAAATGTCCCTTTTGAAGCCCTACTCCATACTAGACCATCCTAATTTACTGATGAATATTCCTATGAGATTATCAGTTATGACAAAAGAAGATAATTATGACAGTTAGATTAATTTTTTGAAAGAAGTACGAACATTTCTTCTGGAAAAATATAGATGGAGAAGAAACTAATCCAATTGAGCCGATATCTATTCGGTCTAATATTGTACTCCCTCGCCTAGTTTGATACGCGATATAAAATCATGATTTCAAATTAAATTAATTTGAAATTTAAGTTTTGTTTGGACATTTAAGTTGCATTTTTCTTGTAAACAAGAAAATTTTATAAGTTGTGAAATCTATATAAAAAAATACAATTCTCATCAGAGGCGTAGGATATTGAGATGGTGGGTGCACTGTTATAAAAAGAGTGATCTATGATATTTAGGTTTTTACTACTAAAAATCGTTAAAATTTTAAAATTTAGGTCTAAAATTAATTCTTATATATATATATATAAACACCAATTACCATTTAGCGAAGTGGTATTTAATTTTAGAAGAAAAATAAAACAAGATAAATATAAAAATTAAATTTCTAACCTCACGGAGAGAGGTGCACCCAGTCATAATCGCATTATGTGATACTTCAAGTATGAGTTCACACATCTATATTTCAATATTTTTTTAAATATAACACTACTATATATGATCTCGGGAGGGGACCATGGGTTCACATGAACCCGGTGACCCTTCTTTAGCTACGCCTCTGATTCTCATACTATCTTGCTAAATGAGCTAATTATAGTTCATAAACACAATATTGAATATCAAATATCCTAAGGCGCTGCTTTGGGTAAATTGCACATCTCCTTGTTTTTTGTGAAAATAAATATTTGTGATTACAAACTTTTTAATACATTTAGTCTTATAAAAATATACTAGTCAATAAGAGTAGTGACCAATTATTTTTTAATACAAACTTTTCACATGGTACATATCATCTCTTCACGATAAACATGAACCTTCTTCTTCTTCTTTTTTCGCAAAATTTAAAACGATGATAAAGATTTATGGGTCATGTTTTATATTTAATTTTTCTCTTTTAAAATAATGATTTAGAATTCCAATTTTATTTTATTTTTTTGGAAAATCTAGGATTTGAAATGAAAAATTGAATATCCAAACACTGATTTGAAATCATGATTTTATATCACATGTCCAAAAGCTAAATGTATACAAAGGAAAAATCACTTGTCTATCACTGATACCTGTTTTAAATGTCACTCTTGTTTTCTTAACCATATGATTAAATAATGCCACATAAATTAAGACCAGAGACTATAATTTGTAATACAACATCTAACATGAAATAATGCATAAGAAATTATGCATTATCAATCCATGCATAACATGTCTCCATATAAACAATCTTTAATAGTATACATCCTTTTTACGTTATCAATATATATAAATTAAATGATTACTAAAAACCAACATATTCTAAGAATAACCACAAACGGTTAAAAACTACAAATAGGGGTGTTCACAGTTTGGATAAAAACCGATCCAAACCGAAAAATCAAACCAAACCGATAAAATAAAACCGATTTTATTTGGGTTTGGTTTGGTTTGGTTTTAGATTTTTGAAAACCGATAGTATTTGGTTTGGTTATGATTTTATTCATAAAAAACTGAAGAAATAACCGAACCGAACCGATGAATTATATACATATATTTTATTAATATACATACTTAATATATTATTTTTATAAACAATTTTAAAGATCTTATACATATTTTCATTAAAATTTCTTTATAATTTACTTATTGAAAGCAAAAATGCCCAAGATGAAACATTTATCTTATTGATTTCATGTATATGAGTGTCTATGTCAATTCTTTGTGGGACTGAAAATGTTATTGTCTCTTCCTTCTAGGCCAATATAGTGAATTTTAAAGCTTTATTGATAGTAAATTTAGTGATTGAAAGTTTAGTAATTTAAGTCATTCTAACTATTTTTCGTTTTGAATGGATTGTTGTCACTTTTTTCACATTTTAAATGAATTGTTTCTTTTATTTTTGTGTATGGTTAATA